AGGAGAAATGGTGGAGCATGAGAGAACTCTACGTGATAACTGAGGTGATGGAGGTTCGATCTCCGTGGAAGTACTCCACGCTGGCTAATTTCTAGAGCGATGTTTCATAACAACTAGTATGACTAGAGCGGCTTGATGATCATTGAAACCTGTCTCAATGACTATTCACGAAAGACTCAGTCATGAGTCGAACTCAAACCCTATCTAGGATCGAGTCGCGAATAAGGCTAAGAGCCGTGTATTGCATTCTGATTGGGCTTTTTGGTCAAGTGTGTGTCATATTTCTAAAGAACGAACCGGTTTTGTAGTGGTACAGTAGTAATTCTACGTGGTCTATATAGACCGACCGTTAAATACAAAATGAGCCGTTAATCGTTCCCATCAAAACCAACCTGCTACTTAGGGCCGGCTGTGCCCCATCAGTCTCCGGCCTGACCACCGAGCTGTCGGGCTTGCGCCCTCTCTTAAGCCCTCGGTCAGACCTCTGCCCTTGGGTCCCTGCCTTGGGTCCCTGCCTCATCCGCTAAGTAAGCCGGTTTATTTTTAATAAGAACGCCCTTTTTCAACCAGTGGTGACGGTGCTTGACGTAGAACCAGTACCAGGTAGCTACCGGTAGCTACGGTGCACTTTTCAATATCCAGTATTATAACTTGTTTTTGGCTCAAGAGGACACAGCAGAGAGAAAAGGATAACCGAGGTAGTTAGACGATAACGGCTAACGGACTAATTACCAAGTTCGATGGCATATCTGAGATGTGCTAACCAATGAGATGTGCTTACCGGTGAAAGTAGTTCGCTTTTCAGGCTTCGTGTAAATCGATAGACTAAGGTTAGAGTCATTCTTGGATTACGGATACTCGTCTATAAATGCAGTATACCTAGTGGAGGAATATCGCCCGAAATCGAAATGTTTCTTTTAGAAGAATTGCTTCAAAGAGGAGAGATTTCTTCTAAGGAGGACGTGTTCCAGGCTACTAGTCTTTAGAGGAAAGGGGTTATCTTGCGCCCAAAAGTTCCTAGAAGACCAATTACGATGAACGATATTCTTGATATTTATTTTGGTGTGATAAAAAAAGAAAAAGGAAGGACCATGACAAACGATAATTATATTGCTAACAGAATTCCTATAAACTTGGAGGAGATGCGAGTATACCTGCAGGAGTATTATGGAATTCCTGTTACATTGAGACGGCAGGGTACTATTACAAAGATTAAATGCCCATATTGCGGCAAGATGCATGACCATGGTCCTCAACCTGGGCATCATGTGGCGGGTTGTAGCCACATCGATCGGAATAACGGGATAGGTATAGTTGTTGGTGAGAGGTATTTCATTCCGAACGACGGTTATACTATCATTGAGTATGAGGAAAGGATGGCGTAAACGTGATTCTTGATAGTGAGGTTTAACATTTAGAATACCGTTTGAATATAAATATTAAATTGATAGTTGCTCCTGTTGCGTCGACCTTGGGCATGTTGTCAAAGTCACTCCTGTCTGTGCGACAATACCAGTAGAATTTAGGGAGGTCCTCAACTTTCATTCTGCGAGCGGTTTTGGTTTGAATGGAGAATGTCATTTGAATGTATGTGTTTACAAGACCTGGATTGCGAGAACAGATTTTGGAGTGTAACACTTGGAGGTGTTCGATCGAAAGTACGCCAGTGTCAACTGAGTGTTTGAACATGGTGATGTCGCTGTGAGATCCTTGGGCTTGTGCTTTCTTTGCGCTGCCGCATTCGAAATACGTGGGTTGCATTTGGAGTTCCATCAGCATATTGTTTACGCTTGTCGAGGTGGGGCACATTGAAAAGATGCCTCAACCGATTAGACCTACTAACAAACCTACACGACGATGGTGAGATAGTTGACCAATCCTTGGAGGTAGCGATTGCCAACATCATCGTCGCAGATTGCAAAGGTGGTATAAAGCATTCCTCTTGAGGTAGATTGGAAAGACGCTTGATGTGCGCACTGGCTGGTGAAGGATGGAATGACAAAGGACCATTGTGTAGCCTTGCGGCGTGTATCGTTGTTCTGTTCGATTACTGATGTCACGTTTGAAAAGGCAATGTGAAGAAAAAATGTAGGAAGTTCCATGGGTTATAAGTGGAGTGAAGTTTCATGAGGGTTCACAAATGAAGTCAGGGATGGTATGAAGTACGCTCAGTTGCCGCGAGGCTGTAACATAGATTTATTTGCTTGGAATCGCCCCTGTCACTGAGGTTGGTACGCTCAATCGCCGCAAGGCTTAAGGTTGCCAGGGCAATCTTAAATCTTTGTTGACATGTATTCGGAAGTAGGGGACCGTCATTAATTTAAGATTCCCCTTGAACAGATGCTGACAGACGAAAAATACTGTTTTACTATAGCGTAAACTGGGTCGGAAGTAGGGGGGCAGTGGACCGAGGTGAGGTAGTAATGGTTTTTCTCACCTCGGTCCCCCTCTTTGGACTCATATTTGATTATATGGTTGATTGTTGACTTCAGGCTACCGCCCTTTAAAATGCTCCCTTTGATTAATGTTGGTTATTGGTCGTACTGATCATGGCGGGGATTCAGAGGGCTTTTTTGTAGTTTATCTTCAGGATCACAGTTGAGATTTCGTCGGTTCACTGGTGTCCCTTTCAATCTTCGGAGTCACGCGTATGTCTCATCAAATCAAGGGAGTCGCGCACGTGTGTGTCTCATCAAATCAAGCAAAGCCCGACTTGCCCACTTTGTGCACCAATATCTAATACTGCACGCGTCCTCAAATTCTTGATCTATTCATCTGGGCGGACCATCTCGGCTGGGACGAGTCCCCTACGCCCAATCAGTGGTGCTGCGTGCTTGACAAGCTCATTCTTTCCAACCCATATGAGACATGTATGAGGATTCTTGGTATCCTCTATGATATTTCTGTTCGAGACCCAAAGAAGCAAACAACCATTCACCTTTCCACTGACATCGCTCCAAACGTGAGCTCAGCAACTCCACCGCAGTGTTCATTTCAGAGACTTTCACGGTTGTGTCAGACTCCAGTTTACTGTGCTTGTATTGTACAAAGAGAACAACATCATCATACTCGTTTCAATTTTGATCATCATTTCGCGTCAACCTGAGGTTAAGATGGGCATCAATGATTGGCGTTCCGTCGCATGCCACAACAAGCTTCTCTTTTGTCTCTAAATCAACTGAGTGGCGTTTGCGTTTGCTCCCTGCTTTAGGGATACTTTGTTTTTCTTCCATTTTCAGGCCGTTTGAAACAAATTCGCTGGGAAGCTCCAATGCCCGGCCTAAATGGGCACAATGCTCTGGTTTGGCATATCGTAGTAGATTTTCCAGTTTGACAGTTGGATGGAACCGAAACTGTTCTTGAATCAAGGCAGCCATCACAGCACTAAGATACAGTGCATGAGCTTTCTCGAAGTCTTGCCATGTCCATTCTTCCATTTTGGAAATGTGCTTCAAGAGCAAAGAATTGATGAACTGAGCGCCAGGAGTGTCAGGTCTCTTGTTGAATGACCTGAACAATGAAGGCGCAAGGCCAACCTCATGGTCCGAAAACAAAACTGTTCCACTATCTCGAGCCTGCGCAACTGTGTAGTTATCATCAACTTCCGTATCTTCGTCAACAGTCGGCCTTGCCAGAAACACCGTAACAAGCATAGCCCAGCGTCCAGACCAATCAATGGCACTCCTTGCTGTGTATGAAGTGACATTAGTCTGCAAGCGACGGGAGTAGTTGCCAGTTGGACATATTCCCCCTTCACCTGCCATTGCAACAAGTCCTGGAAGCCCACCAGTATCAGCAAGCCCAATTCGTAAGGATGGCTGCTTCAGTTCATTCTCTATTAGATGGTTCTCAACACCAATGAGCCCAAAGTACTCCCGTGCCAAATTCTGGGTGTCCACAAAGCTGAGTGATGGCAGAGCTAGTGTCCTGACCTTGTAAGTGCTCACTCTGCCAATGTTTATGTTTGCATCTCTCTTGGAAGTGCCCGTGGTGACGATCGGCACAATGAAATATCGTCCGTGGAGCCCCTCCTTTGGCATCTTGGAAGAAGAAGAAGTCACCAACCCTCCTATTTCGTGGAGCATCGCCACAAAGTGCCCCTGTCCTCCAGATACCTCACTTGTTGTGAACTGACCATGCTCGTCAAAATGACAAACAATAGGCACAACAATATTTTTTCCTTGGTTTTCCGAAAGAAACCTACTGACGATATGAAATATGGCATCTTCATGGGTAATATCTTGCAAATTGTGCCCTACTTCCAATACGGGTGCACTCCCATAAAATGCATACATCAACCTTGCCCCAAGCGACACAGAAGCGGGAAGGTCTGGCTTGTCAAAGGTCGGGTCATATTTGCAGCCATTGAGGAAGTCCATCTTCAAGTAGACGGGGGCCTGCAGAATATTAAGGATCTGAAGGAGAGGGTTTTCCTCACTCACCTTCTTCACAAGCTCTGGCGTTTCAATGCCCATGCGAGTTTTCCACTGCGTACATGACCAGCTGCTGTCAAAAATTCAAAGGATGCGTGGTCTGGCTGGGGAATATCTGTTCAGACAGTTGTCACGTGCTATCTCCATGATAGTACCACACGCCTCACTTCTACCAAGCAATTCTCTTGGTTCACCAGTCAAAGTGGAAATTTTACTGGCTCGAGACCCTGAATACTATTCAAGTCCCATTTTGGCCGTTGCGCTGGTCATGCTTTGGTTGGTAGTGAAGATGCAAACGAGGACGGAAACAAACAAACAGTACACCCGCAGAGGCACAGAGTGGTAATTTAATTGTTAGCGGAGATAAATTGGCAACAATAAACAACCATATCTAAAACACTGCTTACCATTTACCTGTAGCTCCCTCTCTTGCTGTTCCCGCGGCTCCTGCTCTTTTTGAAGACGCTTAATCAATTGGTTGAGTCGCAATTGGGCAATAGGGTCCTCCGCCTTCAGGACTTTGTATGTTGCGTCCATCCGCTGCACATCTCTTGGCTCCAATGAGTCGGGCTCGAGCTCCACGAGTGGAATCCTCTGTTTCACAGCTTCCGCCAAATGGCTTCCTCCTCTTGTTGTAGCTTTGCCGCTTCTGTTAGATTGTCCATGTTTTTGGCGTACTGTACTGCCTACTTGCTGCTGCTGCTGCTTGTCCTATTCTGGATTCTACATTGACTGTCAATGCTAATAATTTTGACAGCATTGGATCTTTTGAGTATCGGGAAATGAGGCATTTGATGTCAAATTGACATTTTGATGTCAATATTGTCAATTGATGGTTTTTGACATGTTGACAGGACTCAAAACTGTCAATTGGTCAATGATGATCAATTTTGATCAAATTGATCAATTGCTGTCAACAAGAATCAATTTGTCAGTGTTGACATAAAAAATCAACTTGATCTACATTGATCAATTTTGACTCTGATTGACTCAGATTGACTCAAAAAAATCCTCAATTTGATGTTGACAGTTTTGATTGATGAATCAATTTTGAGGATTCCTTGACAGTTTTGACAGGACCAGTTGACATTTGACATCCATGGTGCTCCTCTTTTACAGCGGATACTCCTCTTTCCAGTGGATACTACTCCACCACCACAGCACGACAGGCTCCTCTTCTTGTTTACTTTTTCACGTGGGAGCGACTACTGACTCCCACCGCTGAACATGTCACCGAAAATACTAATAGCAACAACGATAACAATACGACGGTCACTTCTATACCATCACCACACCTATTAGCACCATTGGCAGCATTGAAACGAAGCGAAAGGACCTCAGGAAGCTTGTTATCTGTTATTTCGTTGAAGAGTACTGTTTTACTATAAGAATCCACCCAACGTCATCACAGGAAACACTCTCCCTTTTTCCTCTCTTTACACTCATTCAAGTCCCTCCAGTCGACAGGATTGATACCTCTTATCCATCGCACCTCTCCCATCAAGCGACTATCAACGCGGCGTTCCCCGGTTCAGATCAGAAAGCCATCCCCATTGAAATCCTACCAGTTCGGGCTGGCCTTCTATTCTCGACCGCCAACGGCCAAGTTGGAAGAAATTGAATAAAAGAAGAAGTCCCCGGTTTTCCGCAGTACCAGAAGAGCAGAGAAACACATACCCATTTGTTGCTTGCTGTTCTCTCACTGCCGACGGCCGTCGAAATCCCATTGTCGATCCTCTTTTCGCGACTGAACGATCGATAATTTTCCTCAACAACAACAGGCTCCGGTTAACCTTTCCCCTAAGGCAACTGACTCACCGAATCTCTTGAATCAAATCTTCGACTCGATCCAAGACTCGATACTCCGTGAATCGATCGATCTTCCCGCGACTGTACCTCTACGTACCTCTTCCTCCGTACGGATCGAACGACACCCTACTTCCATCAAGCAGGACTCCAAGAGATACCTGCAGTGACCACCCAGAAGAGAATTACACCTGTATTCTTACTTTCTCACCGGCCACTCTGGGTTTCTCTTGACGTCCTAGTTGGAACTGATACTACCTGCTACCATTACCACTCCTCCATTGATATCTAACTCCTCTCCAAGAGGAACAACAAACAACAACAGAGTTCCCGTAAGGATCTGAGTACAGGTTGGCTCCAGCTATGGGCAATGTAGCCAGTCATCCTGCTCAGGCACTTTTCCAAGCGGGAGCAACTACTGACTCCTGCCGCTGGATCTGTCAACCAAAAACACTAATAGCAACAACGATAACAATACGACGGTCACTTCTATACCATCACCACACCTATTAGACCCATTAGAAGCATTGAAACGAAGCGAAAGACCTCAGGAAGCCTGTTATCTGTTATCTTGTTTGAAGAGTACTGTTTACTATAGGAATCCACTCAACGTCATCACAGGAAACACACTCCCCCTTTTCCTCTCTTTACAACCTATTCAAGCCGACAAGGATCGATACCTCCTATCTCCTATCAAGCGCACCTCCTCTATCAGCGACTATCAAAGCGGCCTTCTCCGTTCAGATTAGAAAGCCATCCCAATTGAAATCCTACGAGATCGGCGGGTTTTCTATTCTCGACCGCCGACGGCCAAGTTGGAGAAATTGAAACAAGAAGAAGTCTCGGCTTCTGCAGTACCAGACGAGCAAGAAACACATACCATTTGTTCTTGCTGTTCTCTCACTGCCGACGCCCAAGAAATCCCATTGTCACCCTTTCGTACGATCGAACGATTCATCATTCCGCAACAACAATAGGTCGGTTAACCTTACCCTAAGGCAACTGATCTCCGAATCGCGAATCCGAATCGCGAATCGAATCGAATTATCGATTCGAAACGATAGCCTATCAAGAAGTTCACGAGATACCTGCGTGACCACCGAGAAGAGATTACACCTGTATTCTTACTTTCTCCTGGCCACTAGTGGTTTCTCCGACGTCCTTGTTGGCACTGATACCTCCTGCTACTGTTACCACTCCCATTGATATCTAACTCCTTCCCAGAGGAACAACAAACAACAACAGAGTTCCTTAAGGACTTGAGTTCTGCTATCTCCAGGCTCGGCTGCTTCTTGGTTGGTTTACAGCCCCACCTGGGATATCCAGCTCCCCTCCAAAGGACCTCACCCCCACAAGAACCAACAAAAGTTGCCCCTCTAGTACCATATAGATTATGCAACACCCCCTTATTAACCAGCCACCTCTCTGCCCTGCACCTGACTCTCCTACTGAGTTGTCTGACTCCAAAGGATTGAGCCCCAGACAGAACTGCAGCTGGTGTGGCTCAGATATCAACCACCGCCTGACCCTATTACCTCTCAGCTGATTGTTGAGTGACTCTCCAGTGACTTCCACAGTTCCACCTGAATCGAGTACCCTCTCCACATCTGGCTTGACTCTCTGTTGCATTTGCATCCCTACAACAGATTGAGTACCAGCCTTTGAGACAACACAGTGTCAACCAGTAACACAGCCCCATCAACCAACAACACCCTTGATCCCCCCACCACTGCCTCTACTGGCTATAGCGTGACTTCTCCAGTTTTCCCTGAAAGAATCCCATCAGCCTTTGGCTTTGATCCCTTCCTTTTGCAGTTTGTGTTAACTGTACTAGATTGGGCCAGCCTCTGAACCAGTGGCCATCCCCACCCAACAGCTTTGATCCAGACCCTGATTGCCAGTGCCCCAGAGATTGTCCTCCTTGAATAGATTCCTTTGAATCAATCCTCCTCACCACCTCACAAGCACTCCCTGTGCTTGAGTTGCAGCACGACCCAACAGTCAACATCACAGGAGACTACACCCCCACACCACCATCATGCCTCCATAGCAAACACACTCCCAACTCCTCCACCACCATACCATCTACAGCCCACAACCTCCCCTCCAACATTCACCCCAAACCCCTCTTACAGTCCACACCGCCCCAGCAGACACTGTGCCTCCCCTTTGGGAGCCACTGTCTGCCAGTGCGTCACTGGCCCTATCGCATGGCTCTTTGTCGGCTTCTGCCTGACATTGTTCGCCACTGGATAGGTCATACCCTGACATGGTCCAGTCTTAGGTGCGCCACCGCCTATGACTCTGCTGGCATCTTGCCCTGCACGACAAGGCAATGGCCACAGCATGGGACCTGATCACTCAGACGCACCTGTGGTGGAGGTGGATCGATGATGACTGTTGTCGATCAGCGCCTTCTAATAGGTTAAATCCTGGCTAGGCCACCGTGCTCCAGGTCATGATGGGAAGATGCACACTTCCGTTGTAAGTAGAGCTGTAGGGACCTGCCCCTTGTTCATGGGGCGAGGTGAACGGCGGTGAGATATAAGATAGTGTAGCCGTGCTACTATGAGGCATATCCTCCTTCAGTGTTGATGCTTGGTGTGCACCGTGAATCTTCCTATCGTGCAATTCATCAATGGTATACGACTCAGCTGTTTGGGCCCTCGGGCTCATCACTGCCAGCGTAGAAAAAGGTCCTCCGGACCCAATAGGTTGTTAACCTAAATAAGTAATTACACCCCCAGTCATCCTGCTCAGGCTCTATCACCAGGCTTAGCTCTATTCTCGTCGTTACAGCCCCTCCTGGGATACCCACTCTCTCCAAAGGACCTCACCCCCAGAAGAACCAACAAAAGTTGCCCCTCTAGTGTCGCAGCTAGATTGTGCAACACCCCCTTATGAACCAGCCACCTTCTCTGCTCCTGCACCTGACTCTCCTACTGAGTGTGTGTGCTCCAAAGGATTGAGCCCCAGACAGAACTGCAGCGTGGTGTCGCCCAGATACCACCTCTCCAACAGTAACACAGCTCTATCAACCAACACCAACACTTGATAACACTAACCACCGTCTCTACTGGCTATAGAGTGACTTCTCCAGATCTCTGTTGAGAATCTCTATCAGCCTTTGGCTTTGATCCCTTCCTTTTGCAGTTGTGTAACTATACTAGATTGGGACCAAGCCTTTGATCCGTAGCCACTCCACCCAACAGCTTTTGATTCATACCCTGACTACC